ACATGTGGCCATTTGTTGAAAAGACTGTCTTTTTCCCATTGTGTATTTATCCCTTCTTTGTCAAAGATTAATTGACCAGGTAACTGGATTTATTTCTGGGTTTTCATTCTCATGGACCACTCTTTTTTTTTTTAAGATTTTATTTTTTTTTTGACAGAGGGAGACACAGTGAGAGAGGGAACAGAAGCAGAGGGAGTGGGAGAGGGAGAAGCAGGCTCTCCACTGAGCGGGGAGCCCAATGCGGGGCTCAATCCCAGGATCCTGGGATCATTACCCAAGCTGAAGGCAGACGCTTAACAGCTGAGCCACTCAGGTGCCCCTCATGGACCACCCTTATGGCATCACACACAATAATGTCATTCATTGTTTTCATGACCATCTTTCTTGCTAAGCAGTGTACTTCCTCTTCAATATCAGGGAAATACCTGATTTTTTCTATATCCCGACTCCAGTTCAGCCTCTTTATTCCTAGATATTCCATTAGTGGACCCAGGAGGTGGGGTAGATTCAGTGCTGTACTTAAGGGCTCTCAGAGAGCTCTCCTCCTACCCTTAGATACCCCTCCTTGGGCATGAATACCATCCTGACCTTGACCTTCTGGCCTTACCTCTCTTCTTGCTAATAACCAGCTAGTGCATGAGACTGGCAATTTTTTCCGATAGGATCTTGAAATACAGAATGATCAGTCCCTTATACCTTTGGAGGATGGTTTGGAAATTGAGGTCCAGGCCAGGCCTTGAGGGAGTCGGGGGGCCAGGATACATCAATTTGATTAGGGCAGTTGTATGTATGTATGTATGTATGTAGGTATGTATGTATGTATTTTTAAGATTTTTTTTTATTTGTTTGACAGAGAGAGAGAGAGCACAGCAGGGGTAGTGGTTGACAGAGTGAGAGGGAGAAGCAGGCTTTCAGCTGAGCGGGAGCCCGATATGGGCCTTAATCCCAGAATCTTGGAATCATGACCTTTGGGAAGGCAGATACTCAACCAACAGAGCCACCCAGGCGCCCCAGGGCAGTTGTATTTAGCTGTAAATTTGCGGAGTGTGGAGCTGGAAGGGCAGAGTTAAGACAGGGTCAGGGTCCATGCAGATGGAGGTAACTTAGGTCTAGTTATACTGTTGGTTCAAAAAAAAAAATCTGATGACACTGTTACAGACATTTGTCAAAGGAACACATTCTGGAAAGAGACTTGATAAAGAAGCAAATTGATATATATATATATATAGATTAATTTCATATTATTACATAATTAATTTTTTTCAGTTAGAACAAGTTGTTTTCCTATTTAAGTAAAACAAAAACAAGTTTGTTTGTTTCCATGTCCCCTTTTTTATAGTTTTGCAGCAGAATGCCCAATAGGAAACATAATTACAAATACTCAGCTATGCACAAGAGAATAGTCCCTAAGTACCAATGGAGACATGATTCTTTTTAAATAAATGCCTAAACACAACTCAGGTCCCATAGGCACCTGGACTCTAAGGTCTGTGTAGCAAAACAAAACAAAACAAAACAAAAAACCAGTTTTTTTATATAGAACATCCAAAATGAATTATAAAACACACAACAGTGCTTAATATCTTAATAAATACTTCATTCCTTTAGAATAAAGTCCATAGGGGCGCCTGGGTGGCTCAGTGGGTTAAAGCCTCTGCCTTCGGCTCAGGTCATGATCCCAGGGTGCTGGGATCGAGCCCCGCATCGGGCTCTCTGCTCAGCGGGGAGCCTGCTTCCTCCTCTCTCTCTCTCTCTCTGACTGCCTCTCAGCCTATCTCTAGCTGTCAAATAAATAAATAAAATCTTTAAAAAAAAAAAAA